GGTAACATCACAAACATCAAATGGACACTGTGAAAAAACTGAAAAAAAAAAAAAAGTTACAATCAAATTCGTGATGAGGTGATTTTGCCATGACGCCGTTCGATTAAGCACATAGCTTATTAAACATATCAATACACACAGTACCTTAAATTATAAACACACGATAAACAAAATATAGGCAAACATACCGTGTGCTTTCCAATCAGGATCGACTTCATGCGGCGCCGCAAAGATCGGCTGCCGCCTGTCAAAAGCAATGCATTCTGGTTAGAACATTTGTCCAACTTTGATCGGGGCTGTAGCCACCTTACGATCACATGTGCCATCAAAGTACCGCGAGAGCCGCCTCGGTCAGGCGCTGTAGTTGCTCAAAATCGGCTGCGAGAGCCTTGATGACGACACACAATTCTCACTGGTCAGATTCTGTGATGACAAGAATGAGGTGTGTTGCGTGTTTATTCTAACAATTCAATTCCAATAATGCTCACAATTCCAATAATGATCATTTTTAGTGTAGTCGCACTAGTTATATTGAATCACATTTATCAATAAAACACTGATAAAAGCATATACCCCCACTTTATTGGTATTTAAATAGTATATGATTATGTTATGTTCATGAACAGATGGCGCTGTATTAAGCAGTATATATAAAGTGTTTCTGTTGCTCATGAAAACGTTTCTGAAACGTCTGTGTATTTGAGAAATATTGCATTTAATTCACTTCATCTGTGATAGAGAAATACAAATACAGCGCGAGCGTCATTACCGGGAGCAGAAAGTGTCCGACTTGATGTCTCCGCTTTTAATTCCGCCCCGACTGCAAGCGGCTACACTCGCCAGCCGGTGCGGCAGGCTAGTATAGTGCATCTCGAACAAGTCTATTATGAGACAACATCTGATCAAATCTCTTCTCAATCTTACACCTCTCAACTCGTGTCATCACCTCATGGTTCCCTTTCAAGGGAACTTCGAACTGCGCCCTCTAGGGGTCGCTATGGGGAACGCCTCGTCGTGACCCGTGTCTGAAGCATACATTGAAAAAACACCAACAACACGTTGGCCGGCGACAGCCATGACGTCACTACTGGTGCGACTATATAATAAATAGGCGCCGGGAGCACACATCATTCTCTTCTTCGTCTTCACTGAACGTTTTGTTTGAAGCGTGCGTTTCCGTGGTAAGAGCGATCTTTATTCCTTCATTATGGCGAGTACTAGCAAGGCGTTTAGAGGATGTGTGCATCAAGTAAATTACTGCTAGCTGTTCCAGCATTGGAACATGCTGCAGGTCGAGCCCCCCTCTTGATTGAGAACTGGGTGTGTTGCTCCCTCAGCTAAGTAACTGCTAGCTGTTCCAGCATTGGAACATGCTGTAGGTCGAGCCCCCTCTCGATAGAGAGCTGGGTGTTTGCTCCCTCAGCTAGAGATTTACTGCTAGCCACTCCAGCATTATACCTTAGATCGAGTTGATGGCTTCTCAAACATAGTGTTTTGGGATGCACCATTTATATCTATGGGCTGCTCTTTCAGAGTGCCACTAGGGCCCCTTAGAATGGTATTTTTAAATCCATGTTATGGTAAGTGTGCACGTAAGTCTTTGTACACTTTCTAAAATCCACACTGTGGTAAGTTCGCACGCTAGTACTCTGCGTTCTTTCTAAAATCCTGTATGGTGAGGGCTTCGCGCGGCAGCTTCGTGCTCTTTCTTGAGCTGGTTAAGCCCCGGTTCCACCTTGGGCACCACTCCACCTTGAATCCTCCAGATAGCCACTTTTAACAGGGTGTTGCTACTAGGAGTCTGTTGAGACAGTTCCTTCAGCATATGCAGAACATGCGTTAGCCCCTGTGTGACAGGCCAAGACTTGGTTAGGCTCTTGGTCATATTCCCTTAAATGAATCTATTCCTGATTCCAAGCCTTGAGCTCTACGCCGTCTTAACGTCCCGGGGCAACTCCCATGGCTATGGTAGAGTTGGTACTTAGTGCTCACCATGGTTTTCTGGCATGCACTCCCCTCAGCATGGTGGTGTGGGTATACCATTCCCCATAGCGACCCCTAGAGGACGCAGTTCGAAGTTGCCTTGAAAGGGAACGTCTCAGGTTACGTATGTAACACTGAGCATATCGACCCCTAGAGGATGCAGTGTCTCGTTCCCTACTCAGGGAACCATATACGTAACCTGAGACGTTTTTCATCGATGCTTACGCAGCTAATCAAATCACATGACCAGTACATCTAACGCTACTCATTTCCTCCTGTAGGTGTCACTATTGCCAATTATCATGCAAATAAAATATACAACACCCAAATGAGTATTCAATTATTACACATTTATAACAAAAAAAAAAAACTTTCAAGAAGTGACCAAAATATTCAGCAAGAAAATACACTTTATCTGCGACAGCTACAATTACACTTGAATAACCTTTTATTTCTTTATTTTTTTTCTTTTAAACCTAAAATGCTCTGTCATTCTTTCACTGATGTTTTAGACTCTCACAAAGATTATAATAAAGTATTGTTGTGCTGTCAGTTACGTAGCATGCCTTGCGACTTCTGCCTGTCTAGTTGTGTCAATAAAGCATATTCTGCTTAAGACCTTGGTGACATTATAATTTACTGATATATATATATATATATATATATACAGTCTATGGGCTGTCAGTCGATTACAATTTTTAATCTAATTAATTACATGATGTTTCGATTCATTAATCTAATCGCAATTAATCGCAAAATAAATTTGACTGTGAAAATACCCACAAAAGATTATTTAAACAGCTATTTTTGTGTTAAATGAGAAAGTATCATGTAGACATTACAAATTGTAGCTTTAGAAACATTTGATTTGATTCAACATGAAATGTATTACACATAAACATTTAGGCTACAATAGCCTAACATAAACTATGGAACATAAAAGAAGATAATTTGAGAAACATCTCAGTATTTTCTGCTCATACTATGAAAGTTATTGGTAACCAAAACAGCTTTGTTACCAACAGTCTTCAAAATACCTTATTGTATGTTACACAAAAGAAAGTAAGTCATTCAGGTTTGAGTAAATGATGACAGATTTAAAAATTTTTGGGTGAACTATCCCTTTAATTTTTTATTATTATTATTTTATTTATTAAATTTTTTTTACTCTTAAATTATACTCTAAATAAAAAATTAAAAACGACATCTGCCAGCAGGTGGCGGTAAATGTCTTTATGAGTCAAGTACACAAACTGTTCACTTTATGAATGGCCTTTGAATCATTGATTCACTCGATTTGTTCAAAACAGATTCATTCAGAAACTAAACACCGCTGTGTTGCTCAGAGACGCACAACAATTCTGCTGTGGCTTTAAAGGTAATTATGTTCTCTGCGAAATTGAGCAAAAACACATATCGTGTTTAAAATATAACACAATATCAACTTATTATTTACTGAACTGTTGTATAAAATCACATTTGCACTCATGGTATTCGGACAAACAGCATTTCTGTGATATTGCTCTCACTCCTCGTATGATTTGCCTATCATATGATATAGACTAAATATGAGACAAAAACACATACAGGGGCATTTTTGCACCAATATCTTGAATTTTAGGGCACAACTGCATCTATGGAGTTGTTGCCTTCTGCATCATATTTGTCAACAATCAACTGTATGAAAAGTAAGATTATGTACAGGTCTGGGGGCGGGGCCAGTG